GCTAGGATTTAAACATCTTTCAACTTCTTCAAAAACAAGTGGACCAAAAATGCAATCTGCCCCAAACAACAAACCTATTAAATGACAGGTTCCTTCTCATTAATGGCCGCTGTCATTAAAGAAAAATTGAAGTAACAGCTTAAAAGTACAAACGGGAGAGATCCAGGCGAGAATGCGAGCGTGATTCGTCCTCACGCCTGAGTCACGCGTCATGACTCAGGCGATGACAATAGCTTCATCAGGGTTTCGCCCTCTGCCAGCCCTGGTGTTGGGAGGATCTCACCACGGCGGGCGGGAGTCATGTGCCACATGGCTCCACCACACCTTTTCCTCCTTTTATTATGAAAAAAGCGGGCGTCTGCGCTAACCTAAGTCAAGGACAACGGTGATGACTCTGTGTCGTAACGTGGTAACTTTCACTACATGTCTTTAAGATTAATTAATTATTAAGTAATTAGTTGTGCGATCACTAGACAGCAGCGCATCAGCTTTCTTGAACACCATGTCGATGCCTATTGTTCGTTTTTACCCATATCTTGCATAGGATAATTCGGACATCTCTCTCCCTCCTGTCATAATGAGCACAGGCAAAACGGTCAGGATGATGGAATTTTGATTAAATTAAATCCCGCGGTATTTAATTTCTGGGACGTCCTCAGGGAAGGCTGCCCCATCGGCCCCGGCTCGGCCCTGCAGAAGGTGGTGGCCGTGAAGCCGTCCATCGAGATGAACCGGGGGCGGCGCGGCGTGGCGCTCGACGGGAGGCTCAAGCATCAGGATCCCAGCCTCGCTTCGTCTTCGCTGTGAGATTTTTTTTTCTCTTAGTCATGAAAGGTATATATAAAGAGATTGATTGGGTAGTTGTGGGGCATGGTAATATGAAAATTCTGGTAGAGTATGAAAATGTTAAAAGTTTGAGCTGCGGTCAATTAGGGTTTCTTTTTATTTTTAATCGCAGCTTCCTCATTCTAATCAAGTAAAATCACTTTCTTGACTTTTCCCATCTCATCAGAGTCGGTTCAATATCGACCATAATTATTTATTAATTATATATGTTGGATGAGGAACAAATTTGTCATGGAAGCATGCGATGGATTCCCTGCAGACTGGCGGAGATGGACCTACGGGAATCCTTCGGCGTGATCATCTCCTACGTGGCCAAGGTGAAGCTGTACCTCGGGGCCCTGGGCGGGGAGCTGACGGCCGAGCTGCCCTTCGTCCTCATGCATCCCAAGGTGGGCGGATCGAGGGGCAAAAAAAAAGCTATAGGAGTTCAAACCGACAGAATAGCGGAAATGTTAAAATATGTCATGGGAATGTTGCTTCCGCGGCCGGCCTCGGGAGTTTCTTGATACTGGAATATTGATAGTTAATTAAGAAGCTTCGAACCTAGGAAATTTTGTCCTAAATTTGTTAAATATGTGCTGTTAGTATTTGAAAGCAACAGGGCGATTTTTAGAGGCAACTTGAGTCTGTCTCGACTTTCCAACAGTCACCAACCCTTCAGCCTGGACGTCTACTTATTACGTAACTGCGACCAATATAGAGAGAAGAAAAGAGGAAGATCAATATTGAACGATATTTAAATATTGTGGGAGAGAAAAATGTAATCTCTCTCGGAACAGCCGGAGAAGGAGAAGCTGATCCGCGAGGACTCGCAGGCCCAGGTCGAGATGTTCCGGCAGGACACGGTGGACGGGGACGCACCGCCCAGCGGCGGCAGGAGGCTCCTCAAGGACATGCAGAAGCTCAGCCTCCAGCATTGAGGATGGGCTTCGTCGAGAAGTCTTCTCCGAAGAATTTCCATTGCTGAATGGAAGCAGGGGGAAGGGGATGTGTATATTTCCCGTTTTGGACACTTCGTTTTCGTTTTCCGATTTCTTGATCCCCATGGAATTTTAAAAATTTGATTGGATTTCATCAAAAAATATTCTGGTGTGTTTGAGGTCATACAGTCCAAATTTAAGTTCGCATCGTTCGGCACTTTTCTGCCTTGCATTGGATGGAGAATAATTATGGAAAGTGTTTCTTAATTGGATTCATTTTACATTCTCAATGTAAAGGAGTTGTGTAAATCATATTGATTGGTGTGGTTAATCGGCGAAGGAGAATTATTTTCTAAATCGTGATTTTAGACATTAAGAAAGCAGTGATGCCTTCAAAATGTCCCACTTTACCTATCTCAATTGGAAGAATGTGAATCAGCATGAAAAGTGTCAAGTCAATCAACGAACACATTATTATTATTATTATAAATATTGCATGTGATATGAGAGTTAGGGGGATAAAAAAAAATCCGAATTGCAAAATGCTCACGTCCCGGATTCACGGGTGAGTGATCGAGTGATTCATTCGGTAAAAAGGTGTGATTTTTTGATGAGGCAGCTTCCTCACGTCCTTTCCATAACATTTATATTGGATTTCTCACCTCACAAAGTGCTTCGTTTTCATGTTTCACTCTCTGCACCGAAATGAAAATCAGCAATGTGCACCCTATATAATTTTTCTGCATCGATTGGTGTCGTGTCACTTCAGTATTCATGCCTGAAATAATCATCCAATTTATTGGTAGCAAGTTTGAGAAGCCCTGAGTGGTGGAAATATATCGATTATTGTTTGGGTGATGAAGTTGCTATTCAATCCATTGCGAGTCGTTATTTGTTGATATTAAAAGAATGAAGAAAAAAGTTGCCAAGAGACGGGAATCGCGATGGATCCGCTGTCTTACTGCGTCCTATTGGACACGTGCTGCTGTGGCCTCTACGACCTGAAGCACGGATGCGTCGCGATCGGGATCGTGGATCTGGTCTTCAACATCCTCGACTTGGGACTCCTTTTCGGGATCTACCGGGTGCACGAACTGATCGGAAGCGAGGCGAAGCCGGAGGTGCCAGCGTCCCTGCTCATTGGGGATGTCAGGAGGACGGAGTTCATTCTGGCCTTCAAGTTCCTCCTGTTCCCTGCCACCGTGCTCATGATCCATGCATCCATCTGGGTATCGGTCGTGCCTTTGTTCCCGAGAGGGATAGGGCACCGTTTAAATTAACTCCGACACTTGTAGATAAATGGTGAAAACGATTCATGTTCCACTAGTTTCCTTGATAGATATTTGCAACAGCTCCTAAAGGCCGATTGCGAGGAGGATGGTGGGTATTGCGAAAGACAGTGTCTAGAAAGTAGTTGACCTTTAGAAAGAGTGAACAAGACAATGAAGAAAATGAAGGTTGAATAGGTGTCCATGAGCACTATTTCGAATTGATCGAAGCTAATGATCAAGCTATATATTTTACCTCGTAGAGAAGATCCTCATGAGAAAGCTTTTTATAATGGACTTTCTTGAATTTTTCAGGAGCGACCTTGGCATCTGGCGCCCTTTGTCGTCTTCAACTGGCTTCTCATCATCTTCCTATTTTTGGGTCTGCTTACGACGAATGTGATGAGAGGACCGGATCTCCCCGACGAACACTTCGAGGAACACCATCCCCGAATTTTGACCCCAGTCACACTGGTTTTCCTAAATTTCTACCACCTCTCTCGGATCCTGGTGAAGATGTGGTTCGCCGCCACGGTGAAATCGTTCGGAGCTCTCATCCTCCAACAGAGAATCTCCTACAGGCGAACGTATCCGACTTTCCCGAAGTTTCGTTGGGGAAATTTATTGAAACCTGGGAGAAGAACCAAGACTCGATTCGTGTCGAAATCGGAATTCCTGCGACAGAAGCGTCGGGACGCAATTGAAAGGGTGCCCGAAGTCCCCCATAGGAAGGACACCCCTCCCCCTTCCGGAAGGTACACCGGTTCCGAGATTCGCTGGAACACCTTCAAATCCAAGAAACTTCGTTTCAAGAAATTAAAGAAATATCCCAACTTGAAGGAGGAGCCTGAGGCCATGTCACCATGGGCCAAAGAAGACACATTTTTGGTCAGATTGCGACGGGCTCTCGATCGCCATGGAATTTTTCAGCGGGGATGGGCGACAAGAAATTAGCATGATTAAGGAGAACGGGAATGAATAGTGCAATGGTCCCCGATAATACCACGATTTTAATTTCTTAATATAAACTTTCATTCACAAATTTCTCAATATATCGTATCTTATCCTCCTCCATTCACTATCAATTTGGACATTACCTGGAAATCGATGGGTCTTTGTGTCCAGGTGAAGCAAAGAGACCGGTGCAAATAATAAACCATTGGAAATGCACATCATCATTGTAAATTTTACCATACGGATTCCGCAAACTAAGCACCATTCAGTGTTTTTCCTCATATTCACAAACGCCCAGACTTTACAAAAATTAATGAACTTCTGCTATTTTTAAGATCTTCCAGTCGACAGGCTTTCGCTCGCTTTTGGTCACGTTCAGTTGTCTCTCGTTAAAGCAGGGGGTTGTCTTCCCGAAAGCGCAAGATTTCCACCTTTGAAGATGAAATTAATAAATCTCGATAGGACGAAATCTTGCGCAATCGGAAACACAACCCCAACTATTCCTCGTAACAATTTTCAATTTCAACGCACCCCCTCCACCCGGATAACGAGAGTCAACTGTACCATCAAAACGTTTAAGTCCGTTTTCAAACTTCTGTGTTCCTAGTTCAAATTTATCTGTCTCCAGATGGAATCCCGGCAAAATAAGAAGCAATGGAAACGACTGAAGTGCGCGGTGGGTCTTATTCTCGCTCCGAGTAGCATCCTAGCACAGAGTCCAGAAAGTGTCAACGTGCACAGTTGGGGCCAAATTGCATAATAAATTGGTAAATATTTTTTTGTGTGCATAAAAGTGATATGACACGACAGCAATCAATGCAGGAAAATTCTGCAGAGTGCACATTGCTGAATTTAATTTCGGTGCAAAAAGCTTTTGTGAAATTGGACAAAGTTTCTCAGATTAGCAAGTTTAAGTCATTAGATGGAACATGGACATTCCACGCAAAAAAAATACACGAAAGATTAATTGTGAACACACCATAGGTGATAATATCATAAATTGACAAGATACCTGATGTGAATATTCCAAATACCCCAACTAGATTTTGTGATGGTTTGAAAAGCACAATAGTCTAATTCTCCTGAAAATAACTTCTCCTTCTTTGAATCGAAGTAATTGTTCAAATCTCAAGACAATCTATGTATAGGACATACTCCACGTGCTGTATCCGATTAAAGACTCCTACTATGGATATTTTTCCAATAAGAAAAATCATGAGAACATTCAAGAGAGACGACGATGAAGGCGCATGGTACATAAGAGGATTGACGATGGGATCAATTATTGCCGTCGTGATTGATCGCATTCCTCCGTCTTGATGATCTGTCGCAAAACATGGTGTAGACATGGTTGAAGAGGTCGAAAACGCTGATGAGAGAAACACCGAGGCAGAGGCCAACGATTCCTCCGATGTTGGAGAGAAGATCGAGCAGATTCATCTTCTCCTTTTCCAGGATGTAAGAGACCTGTCGGTGAATTCAGTAAAGGGATGGAATAAGTTTTGTTTTCATAGCAAATAGTTATTATAATGTAGTTCAAGAAAACGGATAGGGAACAAACCCGAGTAGATGGGAAACTGAAATAGAGACATGCGTGACCCTTCTCGGAGCAAAAAACGTTATGATTCTTATGACAATTCGTATTTAGATTGGGCGATACATAATAGTCCGTCAAATTGCACCTCCTCTGACAGTTGCAACTGGTCCATAATGATCGCATCATGCCATTGCTTAGGCGGGGCAGAGTTGCTCTCTGTAAAGTTGAGCTCCTTGGATCGCCACATGCTGGTTTCGTGAGATTGACTTCGTTGGTAAGCAGGCCGGGGCTGAGACACGGAAGATCTGTAAAATATGGCACCACTTGACACTTGAAAAATCATTTGAAGAATGTTTATCCAACGAATCGTCGATTTGTAACATCCTGAAGTAATGTTAATGCAAGTTATGATGTGAAAATGATGAGATGACAAAAAAAAGAAGACAAGCTCACTAATGAGGAGCCAAGACGATGAGATGAACAACTAAGATCATGGATAGAAACCCACGAACGAACGCACTTCGTTTTTGCAGCTGCACTGTGAGTCCATAGATACCGCGCTGAAGGGTCTTCAGTGCGGTATCTTCAACTTTTCCCAATATGTTTCGCATGTCCTCTTTCAAGGGCGATGTTTAGGCCCTCATTCAGTTCATGTCTCCGTGTAAAGTACGTGCGGTCAGAAGCCTGACATGAATAGGAGCGGACATTAGCGGACTAATGGATTGTCTTTCCTCATCCCGTAAGGTTTACAAAGTTGTCATCCTCTTGTTTCAACTCGCTATTAGGATTTCGTTCTACGGAGAACTTAATGTTGGCGATATGATTAGTTACAGCAGCGACGATAGAAAAGTGATGTCAATAACTTCATTCCCTGGAACGGAGATAGTGGTTGGATCGCAAAAGAGAGAAAAGCTAAGAAGGACTAGCTCGAAGTCCCATGGAAATTTTTTATGGCCACCAACCATGTGTAGCAGAATGTGGAGCTGCATAAGTGTTACATCCACCCATCTTGCTCTTAATCTTTACTATACTCATGAATTAGTGTTTAAGATTGCTACCATACATTAAAGGTGAATACGACGTAAAGAGAGCATTTATTTATTGCATCGTGTTCATTTGCACCTTGAAAGAGAAAGAAATGGAACAATTGCAGAATTCACACGACATATTCAATGTACAGTTTCATGGACACTCCAACTTTAAAATAATAAGAAGTCACATTCTTAAATGGAAAGCATCTTGCACGCACGAGGCGAGCAAGACGAATCGAACAATTCCAAGCACTTCCCAAGGCATTCCAACAGCAGATTGCAGGGCAAAATGGTATGAACATCCACGTCCTTTTCCGAGTATTTTGAGGGCCAAAAAATGAAACAAAAAATCGACATCGTCTTCTAACTGATTGTTCTGGATTCATGTGAAGCGTTGTGGTAGACAGGCGCTGGGAAT